CTCGATTTTGGCATTGAAGTCCGACAACTTCGGTGAGGCATCTAAGAGCTCTTCCCTTTCATTTTCATCCGCTGTCAGAATCTCAAATCCGGTTCTGACACGGTGTATAGAGCTTTTGTCACTCAAGGTGTACAGTAGCCTACTACATAATTGATGCCTTATGCCGTCAGGCGAAAGCTGGCGCCATGGGTGATCGCTCTCTAAGCGAAGGAACAGTCGTTTGTCGACTTTAGCCTTCGGAGCTTCTTTATTTTGGGCTTTTGCCGCAGGTCGCGGAACAGCCTTAAAAGTAGGGACTGCTTTTTGTGACAGTCCGTTTCTGGCCACCGTAGCCCAGGTGCTTTTTAAAGGCAGCACTGGGACGGCGGGAATCTGTATGGTCCTGGCGTCGGGAGCCCTTGGGGGAGGGTTTGCCGGGCGAGGAGGGAGGACGGGTGGCGGAGTAGCCGGGCCCGTGGCCATGTATTGCGCGATGGCTGCGCGTAGGTAGACTCTCATCGAATCTACAAATTGTCTGTTTGACCCGTTAGTCAAAGGAAGAAGGGTGACTTCGACGCCAGAGATGGCGGCGGAGCAAAGGGCCAGATTTGCCGCTGTTTCGGCGGCACGTCGTTGCTCGGCTTCGATAATGGGTCGAAGTTCCGGAGGGCAATCTGCTTTCGTGGCAGCTTTGGGCTGCGACGTTGATTTTGACGCTGCTTTGGGTGCAGCGTTCTCCGACAGTTTTGGCGCGGTCGGGGGAGATTTTGACGATTCTCCAATCCCGTGGGGGACGGAGGATGGTTGAGGAATTTCCTCAATAATTTCGACTGACCCGATCATGTCAGTATCGGGCTTGTTGACTGTGGGAAGGGCTTTTTCCTTCCTTCTTGAAACGGCCTGACCCATCTCCGCGCATTTCAATGACTGGACGAGGCAACGTAGTTTTAAAAGAGCCCTCGGGCAGACTCTCGAGTTGTCCAACACTGCGTTGGGAAGCTTTTTTCAAACAGGTGGCATGATTAAAATGCCAGCGACTCGATCACAATTTATTGAGAGAATGCGACGAGGATATGAAATGATCTGATATGCCTATTGTCTTGAATTTGGAGGGTGACTTTTCTCAACACTTGTCAGTGGTGCCCCATGCCAAACTTCCAGATTTCACTGTAGAGTCTGCAAAGCCGAGATTGAGTAATTAAGTTCTCACTTCGACGAGGATTCCCAATCGCTTTCGCCGTCTGAACCGTTTTCATCTCTCAACACATCCCCATATCGCCATTATCGTGAAGGTAACCACGATTAGATTAGATGGTAGGGTCAAAACTTGTCTCATCACCAAACCTTAATCATGGAGGAGAAGCTATCGGATGAGTTTCCGGGGCGACCCCAGCACCCGATACGGAGATGGTGGATTGGATCAAGTCGACCTCGACTGTTACAAAAAAGTGAGACATAGATGAATATGCGCACCTCATGTGGTCCTGGTGTCTAGGCCTCGCCTGGTTAGGGCTGCAAGTTTTTTGAAACTTTTTCCCGCTCACGCAGCTTCTATTGCTACCATTCTTCTTGGGGTGTAGAAAGTTCAGTGGAAAAGGTGGCCGAATCCCACGGGTAAATACTGAGCTGAATGGCTATTCATCAAGGGCAATATATCAATGATCTTTCAAGAAACATGAGAGGCAGGGAGCACTGTACAAGGTGTAGCGTGGGTCAGAGAGGGGCCCAATGTGCTAGATTATCTATGACTCAAGTAGTGCAATAGACGTACATCTCATATCCTCGTCCATATTATGTAAGGCAAAGTCTTAGTCACACTTACAGTGCTGAGCCTAGACTTTCCAGGAGGGGGATGCCTATGGCGGTTGTCATACATGGCTATCAATCGAATATGCATCATGCAGAGGCCGGGCCAACTTGGGAAGATGATACTACCCTACTCATACAGTAGCCTAATACAATAAATGCTGACCGCCACAGAGTTGGTAACGATTATACTCATGAGGACGACTAGTGGGGAAATACTCCGACAGCACACTTCATTCGCAACTTATGACGCATGCTAGCTGGGATAACGTCTGACCCTCATAGACTTAATCTATCCTCTCCATTCCTACATGCGTATCACCACTCTTCCCTAGGATATGAGCTTACTGATTCCCAGGCTAGAGATACGGAGCTCTACTTACATGATTTATTTTATATGTTGCGCTCTCCCAGCTTAGGTGAAAATTGTTACGGATAAAGGGTTCACGCAGAAGAGACATGCGATGGGCAATGATTGACAATATGTGAAGGGACTTGTTGTTTGTCATTACACAGGTTACCGTTCGAAGACTTAGTAGTTTTAATATTTTGTGTGGAAGTAACATGGTGATGAGATCTTCGCATAATTTAAGGGTATAAGGCTGAATAATCAGCCTCGTGTAATTTTATCATAGTTGTATCACTGTTGTAGTTTAAACAAGAACATCTTTATCCCAAGGTACATTGTTATCTGATCAGATATCGAGGTACAGTCTATCCAACAGGACTCTAACGAAGATAATTAAGTTGCCCACCATTGACTGTCACTTACTACAATCATCTTTGAATGTAACGAATGCAAAAAATACGTGATCAGGCAAACCTTGAGTTGCAATCCGTCATGCAGATCCCTATCTTATCTTGGTAAAATACACACAAGCATAACAATAATTATGATTCCTGATACAGAGGGAGTACGGTATGTATCCGCATCACATATTAACCCAACTTTTGCAAAGTAGCAAAGTAGTGTGCTCAAGTTCGTTTTTATATTTTTATTTGCTCTAATTCACCCTTAATTTACTTAATGTCTGCTGCCTGCAAATAGTGCGAGCTCTGCTCATAATGCCCCGCTATAGATAGATTAAAAGTTATGAAATTTTTGCTGTGAAGTCTCAGTCCATAAAAGTAGTTATCCATCTCATTTGCTATAGGAATAGGGTTTCGGTGGATTATTGTGAGCGAGCTGCGTTCTTTTTCTTAAATACATTTTATTGTCCTGTCTGAGTCTATGACCATGTAGGACATGCAGATCCTCTCTGCCTACAGGCCAAGGATACCTATGCCAGTAGTATATCTCCTCCTATGCCTTCTATACAACTCCCCTTGAACAATAACACCCCTCACTATTCCTCATTCGATCATCCACTGGGAGTAGCCCTTTGCCCTTTATTATCTCCTCTCCCCAGACAACGAAATAATGCCCATTTGCGGATGCATAGCAGCTGGGAAAAGTCGCAAAAACTGATGGGTGCGGGGCCCTTCTAACACCGACATTAGGAATGAATCCGCACAAATAGCAACGCTTCTTAAGTGTTCAAAGAAGCTGACCGGCTGGCTGCTGCAGACTTGAGAGTACCTTGGGAAATTGTCCCTCTGCCTTTCTAGCCTCATTCCAAGTCCTTCCCGAAGGTCGTGCTGAAATAATAGAACAGTCTCGACAAAGTGTGATCGCTGTATAGTAGCTTAGCCTAACTTCTTTTGTGCCGTCCAGGGCCCTCGGGGAAGTGCCGTTGACTCATCGACAAAAGAAGTCCTCCTGGCTAACTAGCCGAAATCTTGGTCTTAGTACCCGCAAAAGTTCAAAAGTTGAGACCCACTCGAAAATATCGGTTCCAGAATGGTCATCAGAGACCTGTTCCCCCTATCGCTCGGTATTTCAGCCGCCAGCTCTTCCTTAGGTTGTTTGTCCCATTAGAGAAACAGTCCCCATAAGCCAGGACCTAGGCTTTATATTTCTCTACTTAATTTTTCCCTTGCAGGTATAGGTAGCGTCGTAAAGATGCAGTTGTTGATGGCTGGTATGGAATGGGGCAAGCTCCTTTTTGCAATTGGAGCAACTTCTTTATTTGTCGTTGAGGCGAGATGATGCGTGGTTAGAGAGAGGTTGAGTACTATATGAGAATAGTAAGTGCTGCATTATTAAGGAGTCTTCAAATGGATATACGTTTGTGTTAGCTTTCGAGATCGATTCCGATGAAATTCTTCTAGACTATTACAGATATGCAGAGAATATTGAGCGAATACACCAGCACCGCTGGAAGATGAAGTATTCGTCTTTGCCGGCCTGACTGTGTTGAGGCCCGTGGTAATCGTTATCGGCGAGTGATAATTATTCATCGGCTGTAGTGGTGCTGAGCTTGGCCTTACAGACAAAAGCCAAACTCAAAGTTGGTTAAGTCCGCATGAGGTTTCCGACGCAACGAATTTCATCATCGGAGCTACAGATGATCGTCCAATCAGCGTCCAGTCCTGCACGATGCCAAGACGCTACTCTGCAAGCTGCATCTTTCGGACTTAGCACGTCGGTCCTGATCCCCAATCGATGAGATACCCACAATAGGTCAAGTCCGTTCTCTTCGATCATTTCACGTTTCCTCACCATGCGTTAATGCATAAATTCAAATTATATAATCACCATTCAGGTTTTTAAAGGCCGCCTTATTCATTCTCTGACGCATACATATGTTATGAATTTGAAGTCGGCTTTCCATTCCACCCGTTTGGATACTCGGAACTAATATCCTAGCTATCCATTGTTACCCTTTGGAGCTTCTTCGCTAACAATTCCTTCCGGAGGCTTTTCACCCTTCCCAGTGCAATTTGAAAAGAAAATAGCCCACTTGAATACGCCCTTGGTTTCTCACTCACTATATAGAAGCAAAGATAAAACTCTCAGCTCAAACTTCTAGATTTAACTACCAGTCCTGGTCGCAGTTGTTACGAGCAAAATTCACTAGACCTACCCTGTAGCTCATTACTCAGCCCATGACAAGCTCCCTAGGGAATAGTTGAGCTTTCAAAAGCCAAGGAGAACCACGATGGCATCCGCGACCACTATGGACCTTGCTCATGTCACTTGTTACAAACTCTAGCTCACGACTGCTTCAACACAAAAAATTGAAAGGATTGTGCGTCAAACATCATCGCATTAGTGTAAAAGTCTATTCCTGCTTCTAGCAGGAACTCGACGTGGTAGGTTATAGATAATAAAGATGCACCAGCAGTCACGCTCGCCCCCTCTAAACACCTCTTCTGCGAGGAAAAATGGCAGACAAGCTCAACAATTGGCAGATGACGACTCTAACTCAACTGGAAGAAGAAGTTCAGAAATGTTTGGTTATAAGGCATACGATGAAGGAAATGGTAAGAATGCCATTTTATCATCCAACGGACCTAGTCGAGATTCCATCAAAAAAATTGATCAAATACTTCAGGTGGGCTGCCTCAACTGCTCGTATCCCCAAAAGTCCATCTTTTAACTCAGGCCTTGGTAGAACTTTCACCTCAAAGCTGCTATCCTTGTTTTACAATCAAGAATCTTGCTACCTGTGGTAATCACGCAAGAGGGCTCGAAGAAAGTAAATAAATGGGTGAGCAGAGTTCAATCATGCAGCACTGTTCATCGCAAGATGTATGCTAATTATATAGTTCCAAATTGAGACTGACGATACCAATTCTTTCCGTCAAGAGCTGAATGTATGGAGACATTGTGATGGTTATTCAAATCGACCCCCACCCCTAATCATAGAGACATATATTGATACAATGGACCTGGCTGGAAGCCAGAATTTAGTCATTGTAGATGATTCTGGGAAGAGATGGGATGTGAATGAGGCCTTAAATTCAACAGGTGGTGTCTCCTCGCGGTCCACAAAAATTAAAACACAAGTTGTTTTGGAGAGATGGAGGTTCGAACTAAAAGACCCACCCGATCAAAGTCCATACGACTTTGGACCTATCCTGCCCACAATGTATAAAAAGTTCATTGTCTTCTTCAGGTCTCTATATGCAACAACCAAGTTCGTGCCGGCAGGGCGATTTGTACGAATTCTGGGAAAAAATAGATCTTCCGGTAGCACACTCAAGGCAAAGTGCCGAATTGTGAATGGAACTATCAACCACGGTAACTTTGACCTACTCACGCATCCTCTATATAACAATGGAAATATCCCAGTCACGACAAATTATGTGCTTGGAACGACCGAAACCCCTGTAGGTCAAATCGTCGCCGAGGTTTCATATCGCAATGACTGTAATTTCAAGGTAGATGACTCAAGGTCATTATTAGGCTCTAGATTCATAGGCGCAGACGACTATTTTTTCCAGCCATCACTAGGAACCCAGATACCTAACGCCTACATGGCAAATCAAAAAGCCATAGTGGGATCACTACCTGTCAATCAACAGCAAACGTATGATCAAGAACCTATTCAAACATACGGAAGCCTGTCAACTTTTCATGGAGATGCGCCTCCACATTGCTCAAGCCCTATCTCAGCATTACGAGCTGTTAAGAATATTGATTCAGATTTAAGCTCACCACCGACAGAATCTCTTCCAAAACTAAAAGCACTACAGACCTCCCGGAACTCGATAAAATCGATAGACGGTACTACGATGGGAAGAAGACCATCTATATCATTCCAACCTTTCAAAGCTGGGTCCTTATCATCGTCTCCCGGTCAGACAAAGTATACTCAACGCGTTGAAACATCACAACCTCAATCTTCAGAATCTTCACTTCGCACTTCGGGCGTAAACGCTATTATCCACACGAGAAATCGCTCTTCGCTAGCTGCTGGAACACCAGCTACACTGCGGAGTAGTCCAATCCCACATGAAAACATTGTACCTTCATCAGTTTCTAGTTCACCTAAGCCCGTCTCTACAAGTAAGTATAGTAGCAGTTTCAACCGTCGGAGAGGCCAAACTCAATACAGCACTGCCAGTAAGATCCTTGTAAATGATGATCAAAGCAGCAGCGGAAGGCAAAGCTTTTCCTCATCCACTCAACGCGGCTCTCTTCTACTTGCTGAGGCTAGTATAGGGCTTAGCCCTGAATCCCTTCAAACTGATGATGATAATATTTCCGAGTTTTTGAAAGTTCTTGATCGGCAGAAGACTCTAAAAAGCCTTGAGACATCAGCTGATACGACTGCAAAGAGGACAAGTGCTCTGTTATCAAGGTATCAATCTCTTAGAGAATCGCATAATGCTTTAACGGAATCTATGGGCTCTTCAGCACTTCTACATCGTTCTTCTAGCTCTTCAAGCCGCCAACTATCTAGCATACCGCCCATGATGGCGACAACCTCTATATCATCTTCATCTTCTCCAGGAAAGCCAGTGTCCCCTCACACTCCCCATACACCAGCAATACCATCGCGACTTAGTTCAAACTCTATCGCTGAGCATTCGGAACCACGACGCCCCGATTCTCGGAGTCTATCAACTCTGGATGCACCACCGCAGGCTGTGGTTGATGATCCGCTGAACCTGGTTATAACTAGTGCAATAGATATACCTCACTTTCCTCGAATACATTATCGAAGATCTAATTCTGCCACGCAAAATAGACCTATGGCAATAGATAATATAAGCGATTTGACTTTTGGTGTTCACCGAAGTATAAGTTTGGATGCCAATCATAAGGAATCACCTAGTCCATGTGAGCTTATTAGCCTAGGCAAAGCTATTGAAACTGCTGCATCTTTCCCGATACCTATGCGCCACACTAATGCGCATCCATCAAAGCCAATTGATTCAAAACTGTGCCTACCTTCTTCAGAAGTAAAAGAAACCGGAGTTTCAGATGAATTTAAGATACAATCACACTCTTCTCTAAACCATCAGCGCTCGGCTTTTATGCGACAATCTCCTGTAAACACTGCTTCCCTGCTTACTTTTGGTGCAAGTAACAGCCCACACAGTCGACCAAGTGCATATGATGTAAATAGACGCTTAAGTAATCGATACATTATGGCTGGAAATACAAACCCTGCCTATGAACCTGACGATGAGCCCTTGCTATTTCAGATGAGCGAGATTGGTCGCGAAAACCCTAGGACAAGCTCCATAGATCAAGCTGACCCCAAGGGCGAACCAGATACATATTGTTACTCTCATGGAACTAACTGTGAGGAAGAATCATGTAGAAGATGGTAATTTAAAGGTTATTTGCAAGATACAGACGCACACTGTATTTTATGCTCTCTAAATCACAGACATGAATCTACATTATCGAATGATATTTGAGTAATATACTTTAAGGATATCAAACGTCAGGAGATAATTCTAGTTTGAAAGTAAAGCAAGAGCCTTAATAGCCAAGTTTCTAGTACAAAAAGCTGGACCATTCAGTAGAGATAATGTGATAACATTAGCTTAATAAATCAGATTGAGAACCAGGCATAAATGGTCAAACCTTTGAAGTTTGACAAGAATTGGGTTAAGGTGTTGGTGTCGACGGAGATTTCAAATGGAATAATTTTCTACTAATGTTACACGGGAACAAAGGGAAAGATAATTTATGGGGAGTAATGGTAGGTTCTTGCGGCAAGATGAGAGATAAATCATTAATACCTTGGCTTATAGGTTGATAAGCCATATTGGAGTAGATCTCCCAGTACTACCGTTGCCATATCATGGGAAAATCAATCCTGAGAAAATAAAACTTTTAGGATTTTATTTACAATTTAACCATGATAATTCAGAAATTACTGCGTGCTCCACGGTTTTTAGAAATTTAGCCCTATTAAATATCGGTTACTAACTAGGGCTTACTCAGGTTACATGCCATATAAAGTTGTGTTTTTCCTAGAAGTTACTCGGAACTAGATATCCCTCTTCAAAGTTGATCTTCGTCGAATGAGGCAAAAAGCCTAGAAACTGATTGCAAAGAATTGTCATGATCTTATTGAATTGCAAATTACGTTACTTATAGGTCAGGAGGGCTTTGGAACTATAACTTGCTAAATGGTGAATAACGCTCCAGGAAATCAGACTAATGAGGCTTTAGTTATCAATGTCCTGTAGGCATAGAAGATTTACATATCCTACATAGTCTTAGACTAAGAAAAAAGTTTATTCATAATTAGGATAAATTCAAATTACAACCTACCGTAATTTATTCGTTCTCGAAGGGCTAGTTTCACTGCTGGGGCTCCTTCACTTCATTTATGCTTTTATTATCAGACAAAAAACAGCATTTTCGGTCTGCATCATACAGGAATGAATCAAATTGTTTACAGTTTAAGTATTTTAAAGGCTTAGTGAGCAACTCTAGGTGCTATGGCACGTTCTATAACTAGATAATCTCGTGACTGCTTTTTAACAATCCCCAAACCTAGCTCCCCAAGTTACATACGAAGAACTTGAGAAATGAGATATGGAAACTCCTAAACCTGTAAATTTAGGTGGGGAATTCTTGCAAAGTTCGTCACTGAGTTGTGTTCTGGCTTAGGGTTCTGGCTAATGGCTATTTCTATCAGGATTAGTATACACCAAGCAACAATTTGTGCCAAATTTAAATGTTAGTAGCGAGTGTACATACAGCAATTCCCATACGCTTTATTAAATTAGAATTACTGAGGCGATAATATTATTGTTGTATGAAGTTGCGACAATCATTGGATAGATGATTGATTGATCTAAGTTTAAGTCTCTACTGAGTCCTAGACTATGAAAGACTACTTAAGGATCTACTGTTAGACTCTACGAATCAATTAAATAATGAAAGAAGTAAAAAGTGTCAATTAATTCCTGGCTGCCATTCCTCTTACTGATACTATCTAGATTATGTACGTCTAGAAAATGGCAAATGCTCTATCTGTCCCCAACTTGTCCCCATGAACCGAGTTTCTCATGGTTTAGAGCGAAACATCTCTAGTGAGAAGATATAGAGTTCCCATCGCTACAAACCAAGCGAAACACCTTTTCCCATGATAAGTAACTCCAAGCTTTATAAACCTAACACCTTAAACTCTACATTGATCGCTTCCAAACTATCCACAGTTTGATACTTACCTAAATGGCTCCTTAATTTACAAGCTAATTTCTATTTTGAATATTACAATTATGTGCTAGTTGATCCTTGGGGTCAAGCCCTAATTTGGATAGATAATGTGACGGTCTAAGAATGGCGTTTCATTCAAACTGAAATCAGAGCTAGATACAAATGAAAATGTAAATGTAACGGGCAGAGAAATGACTGAAAGGCTCCTATTTATTTACAAGAAAATAATCTTATTCCCTCATTTCATACCATCCTCAAAATAGATCATGACGTCCCCTCCGCCAAACGCCGGCATCCCTATCTATTTTGATCCATCTTTATTTTAATGTTAGCAAATTAATTATTAAAATAGTTTGTAATGCGTGTGGTTTAGATGACTCGCGACTGGCGGTCGAGTTGTCGTGTATGCAATACAAATTTGTCATTTAAGAATATATTTTCATGAGCTTTGCCCAGGCCTATGCTAAAGTCTTATGAGTCGCGTGGAAGGGTATATGACATATATGGTGTTTAAGAAAGGTGAAATAGTTCAAGCCTTATTTATTGGGCAACAGCCAAAAAATAACCAGGCATAAGCCTATAACAGAAAAGATGCGTTGTTTATTTCAAAGTTTTGCTCTTTCTTGGCGATTTCGTAGATATTATGATCGACAAGTAGATAATTATTTATATGCTATATACAATTCACATACGATAATCCGATTATGGTTGGCTAGCATAACTGACACCTTAGACCTTAGCAAATTCCAACACTCGCCAACATACTTTATTCATTTTATTCGTACTAGGATCATGTTTAAACCTATCTGAAGGCTAAAATGCTAATGTGCACGATAAAGCAATGCTACGAATAGTCCCAATCCTCAAAATGTGCGGAGAATACTTACTTGTGTGCGTGTATCAGACTTTGTGTTGAGGATACTCTAGATCATTCCTTGGGATGGAGGAAAATATACTACGACTGGACGAATTTACACCTTAGATTCACAAGGAAGAATCATCAATTCCCATTGGATTATCGAGTTTCAAGTACTTCTGAATTCTTTGAACCCTTTTATCTGATTACAGTTCGGTGTTATATCACGTAACTGATTTGGGTAACATTTCCTTATGTAGATTAGCGCTGGGAATAAGAAAATAGCTCCTCGATGTAATTATTAGTTATTCCTTAGTAAGGATGGAGGTAGAGAGGACCTGCGTGTCCTACAAAGTCATAGACTAATTTCATTTAATTCTCTTTTTATTGTCCTGTTTGAGTCTATAACTTGTTGGAAATACAGTTTCCTGCTTTTCTTTCTATCGACCAATGTGGTTGCATGCATCTTGCCTGAACTATATATCTGAGTTCGGGCAGGATCCCACACTTCTGATCCAATCGGACTCAACGTTAGAGTCTGCTTGAATCCCATTCTTCCCGAACAAATCCAGTCATTGGTTTGTTCGTACTTCTATTGCGTGACCCAGTATTCTCAGTTAGTGGATAATCATTTTCTGGTACGGGGTCCCACTTATTTCTGCAGTCGAGTCGGTTCCGGGTAACCTCTATTTCTTATAATTCCACTGTATATATCATAATACCTGTAGTCTATTAGTCAATTAAGCAAACTGAAATTCTTCTCCATTCTCAGGCAATTCTTACTCCGAAGTCTTCTCTATACTCTAACATAACTATGTATTTTTTTTTAATTCATTTTATTGTAGTCATAGACTAAGAAAGGACGATAAGATGAATTAAAAGGTGCCTTGGCGAAGACGAACCCGAGACCAAAAGTACCGGAGTCAGTGAGAAGAGTAGCTACTTGAGAGGCAAATTTCATGCGCACCGTCTACAATTATTCGTTGCAATTCTTGTTTAAAGGCGAATCGCAAGAGGATCAAAGACTACATGCATAAGAGTGGAATCGAAATATCGGTTCCTCGTCACTATTACCTTAGATATCTGAGCAGAGAATACGGCCTAAAGATAGAGCTGGACGATTTCTCGCGTCACAGACTCGGCCATCCTTCCTCGGACAAGACTGGAAAGCTTTTAAATGACAGGCCCTACGAGTACTCAAGACGTAGGGAGTGTGGGCCGTCATTGGCTTGCAGAGCTTCAAGTGACTTTTTCGCAAGGAAATCTAGACGCTCGCCTGCGCTCTTCCGGAGAAGTCGAGACAGCTTTGCTTGGTACACATGGCGTTTCCAAAAGCTAAGGTCTCTCGTGCATTATACAGAAATAATCCTTCATGTCACTATTTAATGTGTTTTCAGTTATGTAGCTATGATGCATGATCATTGCTTTGCGTAAATTTTCGTGGCTCTTGACATCTACCTCATGCTCCTGACTTTATTGAAATGTACTGCTATGAGGTGTTTTATTGCTGCAAATGTGATATGGGGATAGGGCTATTGTAGGGTTAAACTTCAATATGATTAGCGTCAATTGAAGGCTTATACCTCTCCGTCCATAGCTGTAGGATGGGAAGATCAAGATACAAAAACCGATAATTTCACCTACTCACTCGAGTGACTTGTAATCCCAATACTTATACAAACTGAACCTCTTCCGTGAGTACTCAAGGGGAAAGCTCAAAACCTTGGACCCCCGAGATATTTTCGTCGCCTACTCACACACGCAATATCAAGAATACCGTGGTATCTTGTTGCATTCAAGCCATCCATCTCCTATCCAAAGTGAAATGAGTGTCCAGACAATTCAGACTACAACTAGGAGATCAATCCGCATAATTCAACACTGCACTATCTAGCCTCACATATTTAGTATCGTCTGCACTCTGCTATATTTTGGCATGCAGCGTATAAACCCTTTTTTCATATTCGTTTTATTGTCCTGTCTAAGTCTTTGACTATGTAGGACATGCAGGTCCTCTCTGCCTACAGGCCAAGGATACCTATGCCAGTAGTATATCTCCTCCTATGCCTTCTATACAACTCCCCTTGAACAATAACACCCCTCACTATTCCTCATTCGATCATCCACTGGGAGTAGCCCTTTGCCCTTTATTATCTCCTCTCTCCAGCCAACGAAACGATGCCCATTTGCAGCTAAATGGTAGCCGGGAAAAATCGCAAAAGCCACTGGGTACAGCTTTCTTCGATTATCGACATCAAAATTGAAACCGAAGATACTGTTACCGAGTTGACGCGC